CCTGACTATCGCTTACACAAGTAAAAGTCAAGTTGAAACTATTTTTGTGAAACCATCCGTAAAAGACTTTAAATCCTCCAGATTCCCTGACCAGATGAACAGCATATCATCTTTATAACATCCATAGTAAATTATGGAGTCCCTATCAGGATTGTTATCCCCAGAATAATTCTAGTTTCAACTGTATAACTCGAAGGATGGCATAGAAAAAAACCCCATGGCCTGTTTATCCAAGGCATGGGGGATGGAGGAAGAAAATGCAGCAACTTCTAGACTAACCCAGATATAGTTAGAGTTCAAATCCTCTTTATCAATTATTTATAGCACTTGTTTGGTGTCTTTTAACATGCTATCCAGGTTCCACACCATGGATTGTCATGTAGACTCACTCCAATAGTTTCTCCCCCAAGATACAATGCCACGCACAATTGGGCGTCCTGGGAAGCAGACTACAGATTTATGGATTGTTGGGAGATGCTAGAATGTACAAGATTGGGTATACAACAGAAAGATTTTTTCATTTTCATTTAGTACCCCATAGAAAAACCCCAGTCAATAAGGTTGTGCAAAGACCTTGAGAATTCCAATGTAGAGTCACCCATAAGTGTAACATATGTATCAGGATCGTTTAATTGTTTCATGGCTTCCCCAATAAACTGGTCCCTATTCATCAAAGCTACTCTGCCACCCTTATCTGTCAGTCTAGGTATTCTGTAACCTGGGTTACCTCCAATTCCCCCACACTATCCTAACGACACAGTAATCATCCTGAACATCAGAATACGTTCTCATGTCATCTATGGAGAGTTCTGCAAGTCAGAAAGGAAGACTCTGTGTGCCTTGCTTCTGTTATACAATGTCTTTCCTCGTCGTTAAAGGGACACTATAGTCACCACAACAACTTTTTTTGACACCTAAAAACGTTGATAAATCAAAAACAATATAAGATAAAATGATATAGTCTCAGATTTGTCAACCTCTATTATAATGCTAAAGTGCAGAAGTTCAAGATAAAGGAACATGGCAAGCTAATTGGCATTGAATCACTTGACATAGAATGATCCACATGGCTAGTAAGTTGGGTCATTAATATTCAAAGGGACACTTTTGTAACCAAACCAACTTTAGCTTAATAAAGCAGTTTTGGTGTATAGATCATGCTCCTGCAGTCCCACTGCAAAATTCTCTGCCACTTATGAGTTATAGCACTTTGTTTATACAGCGCTAGCCACACCTCATTGCATGTGACTAGCACAGTCTTCCTAAACACTTCCTGTAAAGAGACATGTAATGTTTATACTTCCTTCATTGCAAATTCTGTTTAATTTAGAATTTCTTATCTCCTGCCCTGTTAATAGCTTGCTAAACCTTACAGGAGCCTCCTGTATGTGATTAAAGTTGAATTTACAAAGTAGGAGATAAAACCTTTTAAAACTAAGTTAACATGTGATTGAAAATGAAACCATTTTTTTCATGCAGGCTGTGCCAGTCACAGTCAGGGGAGGTGTGGCTAGGGCTGCATGGACAGAAACAACGTGAATTAACTCCTAAATGACAGAAAACTGAAACAGTGAGACAATAGAGGCATGATCTATACACAAAAACTGCTTCATTAAGCCAACATTGTTTTGGTGACTATAGGCCCTTTAAGTTTAATGGTATAAATGCAGCTTGTAACGGAGCTCCCTGTACCCCTGCTGGGTACCTCCACCAAGGACCGCTTCCTAGCATGGAACAGGGGACAAACCGCAGCACTTCCGCCCACAGTCGCTGTGGCTTGACTGCAGTCCTGGAACTGCTCCCTCCTGGAGCTGAATGGGGAACTCGCTCTATCCACCCCCAGTCACTGGATGACACTCAGTCCTGGGAGCTCTAGTTCTTACAAGGACTTTCTCAGTTGAATACCTATTAGGCACAGGGTCACCAGAAATGGGTATCAATAATAGGAAACTGGGATTTAATGGTAAGGGCGTCATATTGTTGTTAGTTAAGTATTACCTCTTTCCAGAAGGTCTGAATCAGAGGACACTCCCACAGGCAGTGATACATATCCGCTTTGGTGTGAGTGCATTTAAAACAGGTAGAGGAGTCCTTCCTTGCCATGAGAAGAAGTCTATGTGGGGTACAATATGCGTAATGTGTGGTTTTCAGGAACATATCTCGATAAGAAACCATGTTTCCTTGTTTACGTCTTGTTTTGATCACAACTTGTACAATTGGCTCAGTCCTTAAGGGGTTAATAGTCAAAATGGAACTCAATTACTGTATGCCAGGTGAGTGATATACTCTCTGGTTGTATTTTGCAACCACTATATGTTAAATTGCACTCTTTGATAGGAAAACAAAAAATAGAAAAAAGCTATTTCCTTGTTCTGTATCGTATTTCCATCAGTGAAGGATAAAAATCCTGCCCAAACATAATGATAAATAGTAGTAGTCACAGTGGCGTACATACCAGGGTCGCAGGGGTCGCGGCTGCGACCGGGCCCGGCCCACCAGGGGGCCCGGCCGCCCCTGCGACCCGGTATGTACGCCACAGGGCCAGCCTCTTCCTCTGGGGGGCCCAGGAGCTGACCACCCCAGGGCCCCCCGAGGCTGGCCCTGCTGACACCTGGCAGGCGGGCGCGCGAGGGAGCACTCAGTGCTTCCTCTTCAGCTCCCTCGCGCACCGCACTGATACCGGAGCCGGAAGATGACGTCATCTTCTGGCGCCGACATCCCTACGCGGCGCGCAAGGGAGCTGAGTGCTCCCTTGCGCGCCCGCCTGCCCGACCGGCCACCCGCCCAGGAGCCCAGCACCACCACTGGACCCCAGGAAATAATCCCCCCCAGCACTCCAAAAGGTAAGGAGGCTGGGGAATTAAATTTAAAAAAAAACGAGTTAGTGTGAGTGTGAGTGTTAGTGAGTGAGTGAGTGTTAGAGTGTGTGTTAGAGTGTGTGTTAGTGTTAGTGTGTGTGAGTGTTAGAGTGAGTGTGTCTGCTAGTGAGTGTTAGTGTGTGTGTCTTACTGAGTGTGTGTGTGTGTGTTAGTGAGTCTGTTTGATGTCTGTTAGTGAGTGCGTGTTTGTCAATGAGAGTGTATGTTTTGTAAGTGAGTGTGTATGTATGTCTGTCGCTGAGTGTGTCTCTGTCAGTAAATGTGTGTGTCTGTTAGCTAGTGTGTATGCGTCTGTAAGTGTGTGTGTGTCTTCAGCACTTACCTTTCTCCAGAGCCGGACTCCCTTGGCGCTGGGGATCTCTTAGCCTCTCAGCTCCGAATGCGACCGCGCACGCATTCAAACCGCCCATAGGAAAGCATTACTCAATGCTTTCCTATGGACGTTCAGTGTGCTCCAATAGCGGCTGTCAGTGAGACAGCCACTAGAGGCTGGATTAACCCTCAATGAAACAGCAGTTTCTCTGAAACTGCTATGTTTTCAGCTGCAGGGTTAAAACTAGAGGGACCTGACACCCAGACAACTTCATTGAGCTAAAGTGATCTGGGTGTCTGTAGTGGCCCTTTAAGTGTGTGTGCATCTGCATGCACTGGCGTACATACCGCGGTCGCAGGGGTCGCAGCCCTGTAACCCCTGCGACCAGGTGCCCACCGCCATGTGTTGCGGCCCGGCCCGCGCGCGGGTGGGGCCCACGGATCAATTTTCGCACCAGGGCCCCATGGGTCATGTGTACGCCACTGAGTAGTCACCCCTCACCTTCCCTGTAACATTGGTATTTCATACAGATAGAATTTTACTAAAATTTCAAATCAGTCTGATATACTGAGACAACGTTTCTATGTTTACCTGTGCGTTTTTTTTTTATCAGATGTCAGAAGCATGAGGAATGCTGCTTGCAGGTCTAGCACAGAGACTTCTCAATTAGAAGCCTCTGATTGGAGAATTCCACATCACAGACTGAAATTCTGTCAAGGAAAGAGGGGAGGGCTTGCAAAAGGCCGCAGAACGCAGGTCTGCAGCTTTTGAAAGCAGTTTATTTTTTTTTATTTTTTTTTTACACATACCACCCCAAAGAAAATACGCAGACAAAAATACATGCTCATTTTCTTTGGAAATATATCTATGAAATAGTTTAAAATATGAAAAATGCCATATGGAGTGTTCCTTTTTATGACACAAATATACTAAGTAAGTTTCAGTTTTGACACATTAATTGTATTTATATGGGTATTTTTACGCTAGGCACACCATTTTCCCATATCACAGTCACTAGTTATGCTTTTTTTTTTTTTTTAGGTAAGTCTAACTTGCAATAAAAAGTGACCAGAGAGTAGCAATGCATGCTTTTTCGTATAATTAGCTCTGGTACTCTGCCTTAATACCTTTGATCATTATTATTTTTAACAGAAAATTTATTAAACATAAACCCATGGTTTTAATCTGACCCAGAGGTTTGTTTTAATATGCGCTCTTCCGTATAACATAGTCATTCTGACACCTCTATATGCACAGGTCGCATCACTTTTCCATAAAGGTGATATTTAAAATCTCCCCATTGACAATATGGGTACAAACAGATGTGTGCATATTCAGACAGAATGCTGTGTTTAATTTTTCATCATTTATGTTAAACTTACTTTGCATCTGAAAACACTGTTTCATATACAGATTATTGGAAAAGTATGTCAAACTATTGTTTAAATGCTGACACTAGACAGATTAAAAAAAAAAAAAGTCACATCTTCCCAGCTATAATGTTGTATATGAAGATAAAATCAACAAAATAAATTGTTTTATATATAAATATATATACAAAAAATAGCTCCCCATGGTACCCAGTGACCCCGGAACCTTTATCCCGCCCTATCCAGGAGTCTAAGCCGGTAAAATCCCGGCATAAACCGTAACTATTACACTGTACCCCCCCAGGTCATCGTGTGACATTATACTATGTGACGTCTAGTGGCTATTTCCCTTGTAGCGCTTCCGGTCAGTGAGCAGCAAGGCTGGGTCCCCACTGACCGGAAGGCATTGCTGTAGCACCGGAAGTTTACGTTCTGCACCGGAAGTGCATTTCAGCTCGACGTTCGAGAGCTTCCTGGGTGAGGACAGCGGTGTGTGTGTTGTATGTATTAACATGTCGTATTCGGTTTTATTAAGAGCGAAAAGAAAACGTTCTAGCAGGCATTAATTAGTCAGATCTGTTTTATAGGACTTTAACCTGAAAGGTCCTGTGATCCCCTCGTCCACGGAGAGCAGGGGGTATTTACTACAGTGGGAGTTCAAAGTGAAGTTTAACTTAAAGGGACAGTATAGTCACCAGACCCACTGCACATTATTGTAATGGTTCTGGTGTCTATAGCCTGTCCCTGCAGGCTTTCTAATGTAAACACAACCTTTACTGAGAAAGGACAGTGTTTACATTGCTGGCTAGTTAACATCTAGCGCCGGTCACTCAGAGGGCAACTAGGGGAGCTTTCTGGGATTCAGGGTCACCACACTCTGCATGGACATGCTGTACGTTCTCTATAGAGATGCATTGATTCAATGCACCTCTATGAGGTGATGCTGATTGGGGTAGGGTTTTGACATACATGTGCAATAGCCTCCTAATGCTTTCCTATGAAAAAAACTTTGGATTTGCTGAGATCATCAAATCAGATTATCCGCGCTGCAGCATTGGGAAAAAGGTTAGCAAAGTAACCTATTTTAATGTAAAAAGATGAGGGCCCGCGACCTATATAGTGATTTTACCACGTTAGGGTCAAGAATACATTTGTGTTCCTGTCACTATAGTGTTCCCTTAAATGAGAGAAATCAAAGGGATTTAAAGCTTTAAGTCAAAAGTAGCTAATGTGGAAGGGTTGATGACTTAGAGAAATGTTCATTTACAGCTGTTTTGGCTTAGAATTTGAAATTCGCCTGGAATTCTGACGTTTGTAAATAACCCTGTGCAATAATTGTGCTGTTATATGAGTCGTATGAGGATGCTCAGGGTAAACTTTTAGTTGAACATACAGACTATTATTAGGCTTGTGCAGACATACAGCAGGGATGCTGTCCTTCGGGCAGCAAGCAGGAACTGGCAGATAATGCTTTAATTTTTACAGTTATTATGATTGACCGGTGTTAGTGACAGGTGTTAATGAAGCATGCATTTTTGACAAGTGATTGGCTTACAACAAATATACTACACACTGTAAACTGAGAATTGTCAGGTATTCAAAGTGAATATCATTTCAATAACACATTCCAGTTTGAATGCTAAGCTATTCTCACTTCTGTGAATGTTAATTTTAGGCTGAAATAGTTAAATTGTGAATGTCAGGTTAAAATAGCGAATTTGGAAAAAGTCAGCTGTAATTATAATTCGGACTAAAATTAAAATTCACTTGAATTTCAAGCAACTCTCACTTTAGTTAATAACTTTACTCCAGGCTAGCTAAAATGGGTAAGGCTTGCAAAAATCTGCAATAATGGCTCGTCTTGTGTGTGATTTATACATTTTTTTTTATTTTTTTTTAGTAGGGAGAGGATAAAAAGGAGTTAAAAAAAAAAAAAAAAAGAATGGGCTAGTGACATAAAGAGACATGGAAACAACTGGTGATCTGTGGACCAAGTGGCATCTGTAGAGAATAGTGATACTGAAAGGGCAAGTAACAAAGTGACACTCCATAACATAGATGCACCAGAAACAAGTAAATCAAATGTACATTTGGTGGCAAGAAACCGTTTTATGTCTGAATCATTCCATATCAGGTGATTCAATTCACATTTATATTTCGTATTATTTTACTCAGTATACTTAAAGGGTTACTGCAACCACTATGACCACTTCACTGACTTGAAGTGGTCATGATGGTAGGAGTCTGGATGTGCAGTTTTTCTGCATGAAACACTGCACATTCAGAATTATTTTTAATTGTATGCCGGGGGCTAGTTTCACCCCCTAAACAAGGCTGCCTATTGTCAGCTCTGTGCATATTCAATAGGGATTGACTGATATTGATTTTTTTTTAGAGCCGATACCGATAATCTGTTAGCCGATAACGTACCAATATTCTGTACATTTACCATTTTGAAAAAATAAACTATTTCTACACAAATCTACTGTAACTGAACATGTTTATTATTTATTGTTTGCAAATCTTTTTTTTTTATTATGGTAAATGCACAAAATATACGTCCTGTCAGAATTTTTTTATGTTTTCAAGAATATGTGTGTGTGCAGTGGATGCAGTGAGAGTATTTGATTAGTGGATGCAGTGTGTTTGTGTAGTGTGTGTATAGTGAATTAAGTGAGTGTGTGTGTGTATGTGTGTATAGTGAATGCAGTGAGTGTGTGTTTGTGTATAGTGAATGCAGTGAGTGTGTAGTGTGTGTGTATAGTGAATGCAGAGTGTTTGTGTTGTGTGTATTTAATGAATGCAGAGTGTGTGTTTGTGTAGTGTGTGTGTGTGTGTGTATAGTGAATGCAATGTGCGTAAAGTGAATGCAGTGTGTTTTGTGTAGTGTGTGTGTATATAATGAATGCAGAGTGTGTATAGTGAATGCAGTGTGTTTATATAATGCAGAGTGTGTGTGTTTGTGTAGGTATGTTAACCCCTTAAGGACTGAGCCAAATTTGAACGCCAATTTTGGGCAGTGTTTGTGACTAAGGACTTCTGAAAAAGACTGGACATACCTCATTTGCAATACCTAGGGTTGTCTACTCTTGCAAATGGTGTGCCATCATGGGGGTCATTTTCATTCCTGTGCTACCATACAGTCTCAAAGGTCCTGGAAAGTTATAGGGTTAAATATAGTGCTAGCAAATGAAATTTCCTGGACTTTTGGCCTGGGTTGTCAGGCAGGTCCCGCGAATTGTAATTAATAAAATGACCTAATTATGTAAAAATATTCCATAAATATATGTGTAGAATTATTATATATATGTGTATATCTAATTTTTTAATATGATTTTTATTTATATATAGGGGTGTGCGTGTGTGTGTGTTTGTATGTATATATGTGTGTGTGTATATATATATATATATATATATATAGTGATATATACGTATACTTATGTGTGTGTGTGTGTATATATATATATATATTTCGTTCTATGTGTATTTTGATATCAATATATATATATATTAATATCAAAATACAGTTAGAACGAAATGACACATATATTTTTATATTTTTTAATGTATTTACATTATATATATATATATATATATATATTTATTTGTGTTTTATACTTTAATTTTATTTTTTTCAGGCAGCAGGGGGAGTACCCTTCATTCCTGCTGGCACTGCAGTGGATGGCTATGCTGTCCATGTGATCGTGAGGTCCTAGCAAGGACCTCGCAATCACATGACCCAGGAGGACCGGAACAGCAGCAAGGGGACTCCCTGGGATGCCAGGTGAGTCCCCCCACCGCAATCGCTGGCGTTTAGAGCCGGGTCCCCATAGAACGCCCGCCGTCCTTAAGAGGTTACGTGTGTAAAATTTAGTTTTAGTTTTCCATGGTGGTCTGGTGTCAAGAACTGTGCAGCAAGCTCTTACTTATCTTTCCTTTAGCTCCCCTGTCTAACTCTCGCGGTAACTCATGGTAACCCTTGGCAACACTCCGACGGCCGCATGACTCACGAGATTTAGACAGGGGAGCTGAAGGGAAGATAAGTAAGAGCTTGCTGCGGGCCCTCCAGGACTGCCGGGCTTGTCATGGGCCCTGCGGTCCTGGCCTGCATTATCTGCAATATCGGTATCTCTGTAGACCGAAAAGCTGAAAAATTGCCGATTAATATCGGCCAGACCGATAATCGGTTGATCCCTAATATACAAGCACACCATTTTTCTGAGTAGGACCAAAGGAACACTCTGAGTACCATAACAACGTCATCTCAGTGGTGATGAGAGGTCCTGGTTGCTGTTTTACGTTAATTGGTTAAACTATTCATGAACTGTTTAAATTGTTACTCCAAGTATTTGACCACTTTATAGAGAAAAGGCAGTGTTTCCCTTGCTTCCTAGGAACACCTCCAGTGTCAGTCACTCGGACAGCCACTAGAAGTGCTTTCAGGGTCGCATCACTAATGTTCACTATCTCCATGGGAGATGTGACTAGAACTGCATAAATAAATTAATTTAACTCCTAAATGACAGAGATTTTAACAATGAGACTGCAGGGGCATGATCTATACACCTAAACTGCTTAATTAAGCTAAAGTTCTTTAAAGGGACACAATAGGCAGCCAGATCACTTCATCTCATTGAAGTGGTCTGGGTGCAGTGTTCCTGTGCCTCGTAGTCCTTCAATGTTGCAGTTTTAGAGCAATGCTTTCCTATGGGGAAGACCTAATGAACGTGCATGCGCTTGTCGCGCATTTGCAGTAGGTCTCCCCAATCTGATGACATTGGGAGATGCGGACCATGATCTAGTGCCGAGGGACCTTGACACTGGAATCGAGTAAGTGAAGAAAGGGTTATTTAATTCTTTACTATGTTAGGAGTAGGCTGCGTAGGCAGAGGAACACAGTCTTAGGAATACATCTTTGTATACATCAAAATGTTCCTTTAAGCACTGTTACGTGTCTTGACGAAAACCAGCACTTATAATATTACAAATTAATCAATAAGGTGTGGGCATGTTTTGAGCCTTTGTGTTATGTTTGATGCCACTAGTTCTGGAATAAAGCTTTTTAATATTTTTTTCTGATGTGTTTATTTTAGGTGTGGCATGTTATCTGAAGATTAGAATTCCTTTTTGTCTGTTTTTCTCACTCACAAATGATGAATCCCAACAACCCATTTACAGAACTTTCAGCAGGGGTGTCTGGATCCCAGAATCAGAACAGCTTCTTGTTTGGGCAGCCCTCTGTGTTTGGAAATACAAGTGCAGATCAGTCCACTCCAGTTTTTGGACAAAATGCTACTGGCCAGTCTGCTCCTGCATTTGGAAATGCTTCTTCAGGCCAAGGTGCACCTATGTTTGGACAATCCATTACTGGTCATTCTGCCAACATGTTTGGTCAGACTACTACTAATCAGTCCGCTTCCATTTTTGGACAAATAACGACTAGTCAGTCTGCTCCTGTCTTTGGGCAAGCAACTACTACAAATCAGTCTACTCCTGCTTTTGGTACTAGTCAAGTTGCTACTGCTTTTGGTCAAGCTTCATCTGGTCAGTTGCAGTCTGCTCCCACATTTGGACAAATTTCAACGGGTCAGACTGCTCCAGCATTTGGTCAGGCTACTATTGGAAAATCTACATCTGCCTTTGGACAGACTACCAATGGACAATCTGCTTCTATGTTTGGACAGTCTGCTTCATCATTTAGACAAAGCTTGACTGGACAGTCTGCTTCCCCCTTTGGACAAACCTCTGCCCTCTTTGGAGCGACTACTACAGGTCAGCCTACTTCTTTATTTAGTCAGTCCAACACTAGCCTCACAGTTTCCCCATTCGGACAAGTTGCTACTAGTCAATCTGCACCTCAGTTTGGACAGACTATATCTAACCAGTCTGCAACCTCCTTTGGACAGATGTCTTCTAACCAGTCTGCAACTCCTTTTGGGCAGGCTGCATCTAACCAGTCTACAACCCCCTTTGGGCAGGCTACATCTAGCCAGTCTTCAGCCCCCTTTGGACTGGCTACATCGAGCCAGTCGTCCGCCCCATTTGGACAAGCTACATCGAGCCAGTCTGCAGCCCCCTTTGGACAGGCTACATCGAGCCAGTCTTCAGCCCCCTTTGGACAAGCTACATCGAGCCAGTCTTCAGCCCCCTTTAGACAAGCTACTTCGAGCCAGTCTTCAGCCCCCTTTGGACAGGCTACATTGCGCCAGTCTTCAGCCCCCTTTGGACAGGCTACATCTAGCCAGTCTTCAGCCCCCTTTGGACAGGCTACATCTAGCCAGTCTCCAGCCCCCTTTGGACAGGCTACATCTAACCAGTCTCCAGTCCCCTTTGGACAGGCTACATCTAGCCAGTCTCCAGCCCCCTTTGGACAGGCTACATCTAGCCAGTCTCCAGCCCCCTTTGGACAGGCTACATCTAGCCAGTCTTCAGCCCCCTTTGGACAGGCTACATCTAGCCAGTCTTCAGCCCCCTTTGGACAGGCTACATCTAGCCAGTCTTCAGCCCCCTTTGGACAGGCTACATCTAGCCAGTCTTCAGCCCCCTTTGGTCAGGCTACATCTAGCCAGTCTTCAGTCCCCTTTGGTCAGGCTACATCTAGCCAGTCTTCAGCCCCCTTTGGACAGGCTACATCCAGCCAGTCTTCAGCCCCCTTTGGACAGGCTACATCCAGCCAGTCTTCAGCCCCCTTTGGACAGGCTACATCCAGCCAGTCTCAGCCCCCTTTGGACAGGCTACATCCAGCCAGTCTTCAGCCCCCTTTGGACAGGCTACATCCAGCCAGTCTTCAGCCCCCTTTGGACAGGCTACATCCAGCCAGTCTTCAGCCCCCTTTGGACAGGCTACATCCAGCCAGTCTTCAGCCCCCTTTGGACAGGCTACATCCAGCCAGTCTTCAGCCCCCTTTGGACAGCCCTACATCCAGCCAGTCTTCAGCCCCCTTTGGACAGGCTACATCCAGCCAGTCTTCAGCCCCCTTTGGACAGGCTACATCCAGCCAGTCTTCAGCCCCCTTTGGACAGGCTACATCCAGCCAGTCTTCAGCCCCCTTTGGACAGGCTACATCCAGCCAGTCTGTTCCTCTGTTTGGACAGGCTACATCCAGCAAGACTGCAACTTTTACTACACAACCGACATCCATTTTTGGAAAACCTGCATCCATATTTGGACAAGCCACCACTGAGTCTCCTACTACCTCTTCAAATGACCGTGGTTTTGGATTTGCAAAGTTAAATGCTGCAGAGACTCAATTTGGGAAAGTTACAACTGGACAGAGATTTGGATTTGGGCAGGGATCATCTACATTTGGACAACAACCTGGAAGCCAGTCATCTGGCTTTGGGCATGCTAATTCTGGGCAGACTGGTGTTCAGTTATCTTTTAATCAGAGTGCTAGTGGAGTTGGACAGAGCAGTCCAGGGAAGGCTCCTCTCTTTGGAGAGACTTCTGGAAATACTGTATTTGGGCAGCAAACATCTCACTCGGGGCACTCTGTAAGTGAAACGCATACACAGATGAACACTGAATCTGATTCTACAGATTCAAAAGTATCTACCAGCACAACATCATCTACGTTTGCACAGATGTCTAATGTGCCTGGATCAAATTCAGAGAACAGATTCAAGCCTCCTGCAAATTCTACTTTCAAGCCAATCTTTGGAGCAGTCAATGTACCCGAAAAATCTAAGAGCCATGGTCCCACATCTTTCACCTTCCAAAATTTTGCTAAAAATGAATTGGGGAATCAAAAAACAAATGACGGTCATCATGATGCAGGCTCATCAGGTGAAATTAAAAGTGGTGGAAACTTCTCTTTTTCTTCATTTGACAAGAGAAACAAGGATGAAACGGTGGCATCACAGTTGACATTGAAAAGTGTAGGAAGTAATTTCAGCAGTTTTGTTAGCCCTAACACCAGTGATGGGCAGTCACAGCTTTCAGAAAATTTCAGGAAAGAAGAATATCACAGAGGTTTCAAGAGGAAGGAAGGCCAGGAGCTTTCCTCTGTTAAACATGTACCCCCTTCTTCAGAAGAGTCATCCTCCATGCCACAAACCGATCACCCTCCCGTGAAGAGGCATGGCAGACTTGGACACCAACTCACTGGAGGTGCTAATCTTTTGGTGAGAAGCCTGTATGATGTTGTAAAGAGTCACATGAAGACTGAACATAAAAATAACAAAAAGGAAGAATTAAGTACAAGCCAACAGCCTACAGATTCCGAGTCTAATAATTCTTCACAGCCAGCCAATCAGTCCATGCACACTAAAGATTTTTCTGCTTCTGGGTCTATCCTGCAAACTACCAACAAAGTCCAACCTTCAGCTGGCCCTGGCCAAACTGTTTCTGGTAAAAATCCGATATCTGTTGGACCAAGCCCAACAATACCTAGCCGAACAATTTCTACTATAGTTACAGGCAACCAAACCACTCCCAGAACCTATTCTATGGCACGATCTAATCAACCAGCACTTGGCAGACCTCAACCTCTGTTACAGATAGAAACATCATCTGAAGACATAACAGGTATGCACAGCAATTTCTGAATTTTCTAGGCATCACTTTTTACTTTTATCCACTTAGACAAAGTTGTTGTTAAAAGGAACATCTAGACCAGTGGTTTCCAACCAGTGTGTGCCAAGCCACCTCAAAGTGTGGCATGTTCATACTGACTTTGGGCTTTGATAGGTTGAATTCAGTCCCTAAAATGTGTTAACAAGTGTCACTATTACAGTTTGCATTCCTACTGTTAATATTAATAAGTCAATTTGGCAAGGTATGCATATCCCTCTAACAAGGATCCAGGCAAATGTTACATTTAAAGGCAGCTTAGGAAGGTAAAAAATCAAGTCTGCCCTTGAAATTGTTCTATCATTGAAATGTGCCCTAGCCCACAAAAGCTTTGAAACTACTGCTCTATGTAACAACACAAGTCATGTTTCAGTTAATTAAGCTTTTCTTCTTTACTGAGCTGCACAAATGCCTCTAGTGGCTGTCACAGAGTTGTTTCCCCATTGCAGTTGGCAGAATTTACATTTTTCATTCTCACACGCAATGCTGACACTGAATGATGATTATTCATCTCTATGAAGATATGCGGATTGGTGCACAGCGACAAATTCTGCACATTAGGCCCCCAATGCTTCTATATGGAGCTGCATTGGGATTGGCTGAGATTATCTCAGCAAGGGCAGACTGGTGGCCCCAGTGAGGGATAAATGGTGAGTGAATATGACTAATTTTACTTGTAAAGGGTGGCCTCCGAATCACTGCAAATAAACTGCATGATTGTATTTCTAACATTAGAGTTTTCTTTTAAGAACCTTAGAGTATAACCAGTGTCTGTCTTGTATGGTTTATTGGTTGTCACTGTGATGGCTGCATTTTATTACATACTGCTCCTAATATTTATATGTGTGAATTTATTATTATTTTTTTTTTTTTACTTTCGCTGTCAGCTCTTTCTAAAAAGATCCCAGTACGTAGAGCCCGGCGTTCAGATAGTGAAGACAGTGTGACTGCTTTGTCTCAAAATGAACTGACTGCTATACAGGTTCGAAACGTCCCTAAGCGTCTGAATCAAAAAAAGTATCTTGAGAAATATTTCAGCAAGTTTGGAAAGGTGCAGCGTTTGTACTGCAGGCAAGGGAGCAACATGGTGATTGTTCATTTCTTCAATCACGTAAGTTACATTTGGAATATAAATCTCTTGGGGTGGGGAAGATAAACAGTTACAAAAAAAAAATTGTGCAGAATTATAGCAGTTTCTTTACTCCTGTATTGTATTAAGATTGCAGTGTGTGTGTGTGTGTGTGTGTGTGTGTATATATATATATATATATAGTCTCTTACAGACTGAAACATTGACTGGAACGTTGTGTGAATTTGTAATTGCTCAATAAAGCAACAGATGAAATTTACCTTGAAAGACTCCTGAGTGCTCTCTACTGGTATTGTGTGTATGTATTTATATATATTTTTTTTTATTTTTTTAATGTTATGTTTAGCTTGACTCTCCTGTCATGTTTTGGACATCTCACATAGCTGATTGTATAAATGCATAATGGTAATATGTATGCTATGGGAACAAAATAGCTTTTAAGAGGCTCTGGAAAATGAATACTTAATTGACACTCTAATCACCAGAACAACTGTAGCCTAATGCAGTTGTTCTGGTGAGTATAGTCAGTCTATGCATGCTTTTTAATGTAATCACTGTCTTTTTAGAGAAAAACACAGTGTTTATATGACAGCCAAGGGATATTTCCACTGGCCACTCCTCGGACGGCAACTAAAGGTGCTTCCTTGGTCAGTGCTGCACAGTGTACAGACCTGACGTTCAGTGTCTCCATGCTCTGCCGACCACCTAAACTGTGGTTTTAGAACTGTAGTGTCAGGAATACATATTTGTGTTCCTAATACAATAGTGCCCTTTTATACTACTAAGGTGAAGTGATTTATGTATATCTCCAGAACACTGAGATAGCAGTAGTATAGTCAACCTTCGGCACTCCTAGATGTTATGGATTACATCTTCCTTGATCCTTTGCCAACAATATGGCTGTAAGAACATTATGGGAGATGTAGTCCACAACATCTGGAGTGCCGAAAGTTGCCTACACTTGCCCTAAAACATGCTTCAACTTTATTTATCTTATTTATTTTTAATTGGAGTTAGTTTTGTAACCCCTTAAGGACACATGACATGTGTGACATGTCATGATTCCATTTTATTCCAGAAGTTTGGTCCTTAAGGGGTTAAAGGGGCACTGTGTCTTTCCAGGATTTATAACTGAGCACCACCTTAGCTTCCTGTAAATCTTTGTTATGAACTTTGCTTTTCGCAACTGTCTGTCAACAAAACAGTGGGTGAGATATATCAAAGTGTTGTGTTCTGAAAAGTGGTGTGAAAAGAGAAGAGTCGAGAGTGGAATGTGCCTGCTTGTTGCACTAGTTTCAATAATACAGAATAAATCCAAACTCTTGTTCTTGTGCAGCAAGATTTTTAAGGCTGATTCTTCACAAAAATCCCAAAATATAAAAAAAGGTTTAAGACAGGTCAGAAACGGTCAGTAACAGAATTTTAGACAACTGTAGTTGAGGGTTCATTATATTATTTTGTGGGTTGTTTTCAGCTGTGCTTCTCTTTTTTTCATTTTAAGTGACATGGGTTTGTAGATTCATTCTGCAATAGTCTGCCCCTATTGATGCATATATTGTCTGCATACCTGTACAGTGGTAGCAGATTGGATAATTCTGCGCTGTTATGGAACAGAAATAAAAGAGGGTAATTCTTGCCTCAAATTATCCCTTTTTTACATGGTTGGTGCCTTTTACTAGTGTTTTTTTTTTTTGCATAGCTTCTGCACTGCTTTGCCTTTTCTATTATGTTATATTATAATAAATTGCACTATTTATTTTGTCACATTTTGCAGACATCTGCAGTTCATGCCAAGAAAATGGGAGTAAAGCTGCATAAGGATGTAACCATATTTTGGCATCGGAAGAAAAACAGTGAGTGCTAAAAATGATGGAAACTGTTAACTATTGATCCTCACGAGGAAAGAATGATTTGGATTGTGAATGAAATAATGACAATTCGAATATTTTTATTTTTGTTTTGTTTTTTTAAGGCCCGAATAAAAAAGAATCTTCGTCCTCTAAGAATACAAGTCTTGAAGACGAAATGGAAGGTCAACAGAGCGAGGAAGAAAGCCCTTTGCTGACGTCACCTATGAGCAGATCCACATTCCAAAACCTAACTGCTAGCAGAGGATCTAAAGGGTGAGTGTTAGTTTAATTTTACAAGATAGTTTGTTTTTGCAAGTATGCAGTATGATGTGTTCCACATATTCACTTTACATTGTTTCTATAGATTGCCAAACAAAATGTCTATGGTCTCAAAAACTCTTCAGTTTGACACTGAGAGCTCTGACCTCCAGGCGTCGACTCCAGATACTACAGCAGCATCGCTGCTACCTATGCTCTCACATCTTGTGGGGACTGTGGCAGAAACATCAGAAGAGAAGTATCGACTGCTGGACCAAAGAGACAGAATCTTGAGACAGGGTGGGTATTTGGTTAGTAGTCCCTTCCGTCTTCCTCTGAGCTGGAATGTGCCCATGATTGGAGATGATTTATGTGAGAGTAACTTGTAGAATGAGTTGCTGCAAAATGTGTCATTACAAGAATGTTAAGTTTTCTTATTCTGCCTTCCACTGATCATTCAACAATGTGCATGGTTTAAATTAGTTTACAGTGCTGCAGTCCTAAAAGTTGCTCCAACCACCATGACCACTTCTGCATTTTCAAGTGGTCATAGTGGTAGGAGTCTGTATGTGTCGTGTTTCTACTTGAAACACTGTAGATACAGAGTGATCTGCGCTTTTGTGCCGGGGTTTAATTGCACCCTGGAACTCTATTTCAGATTTCCTAATGTCAGTTCTGTGCAAAAATTATGTCTGTTGTCTGCATGCATTGCCTGTTGGCGACATATGTTATCACCTTCAACACTCACCTTCTACACTTGCAGGCAGCACTTGGAAACCCTCTATTCTTCATCTCCTTCACATGCATTTCACTAACAGCTCTCTCTCCATGCAACCGACCTCCCCTTCACTTACATTACACTATCAGCTCTCTCTCTCTCTCTCTCTCTCTGTGTAGCCGACTTCCCCTTCACTTATACAGCTCTCTCTCAGAACAGCCCTCCTTCCCACCTCCCCTTTAGAACATTGACACTATGAGCCCTGCCTCCATGCAGCCCTCCCCACTCCTCTTCCCTTACATTAGACTCACGGACCCCTGAAGGATAACACATTGATGACATAAGGCGTGGAACAAATTGGGTAGAACTTGGCCCAATGTTGATTTCAGGGTAAGTATCAAGCTATTTTACAGGTTTTTGTATAATAAATGAAGGGGGACCAAGTGACAAGTACCCAATCGGGAATAAAAAAAGGGTTGGCATAACCCTTTAATAATTGTAAGTTTGGTTTACTTTATTTGTACTTTAAAATTCTTCTGTGATGTTGTATTTACATTTTTTTGTCTCTGTAAATATAAAACGATACAAAGTGAAAGTACCTGAATTGATGAGGGAGGTTTATACTAACGTTACTTCCCTTTTACTTGCATGGTTTGTTGTCCCACATTTGTTATTCCTGCCTTTCTTTCTCACTTCTCTGTTTTTGCAGCCCGAGTGAAACGAACAGAACTAGATCAGGCTAAGGTTTTTGTGGGAACATGTCCTGATATGTGTCCAGAGAAAGAACGGTACATGAGGGACACGCGACAGCAGCTCAGCATCTATGAATATTTTCCAGGAACTGACAAGGTATGGTATCTGTGTGATGCCAGACAGGGACATTGCTTTTTAAACTACTGGTCTTGCTACATTGGAGAGTTAGTGTGACACTTTCACAGTGGAACCCCAAAAGGGATAAAGATTGTTTCTGGTATTGCAGCTGCTTAAAGCATGACCTCCGTAATGGTTGTATCTTGAGAATGGGACAGTGGAATTTGAGACATTCCATATTTTTTGAAGCACAAGCGTTCAAATGTCATTAGCAGATATCTGCAGATCTTCTGTATTGCTCAAATCTCTCGTATTAGAAGCCTTTGCTGCTGCAGAAAATAATCACATTACAAAACTAAAAAATCCTCATTTTAGAAAAAAAAACTACTTGGGATGAAAGTAGCAGGAATTACTATATTAAAGCAAAATTTTTCATTTGTAACTTTTCATGTTTGTCTTTTTATTTTGGGTCTGTTTTATGTAACTGTGTATGTTAATGTGTAATATGTACAGGTTCGGTTTTTTTTTTCGTTATTTTTTTTTTAATCCTCAAATGCTGATAAAAACTAGTATGGTTGAGTTGACAATACCTGTTTACAGAAACTACTGTTTTGATCTGAAGGATTTCGATTATACGTTTTTTCTGTCATTTCTAGCTTGATCATGCAGCTACTATCAAAGAGTATAGTCGTTCCTCCGCTGATCAGGAGGAACCTCTGCCTCATGAGCTACGCCCAGCACATGTTCTTAATATGACTATGGATTACCTGGTGACTCAGATTATGGATCAAGGAGAGGGCAATTATCGGGAATGGTATGACTTTGTTTGGAACCGGACCCGTGGGATCAGAAAGGTGAGCGCACTAGGTGACCTAAATAATTCAGGCATCATTTTTAAAACTATCTCTAGAAAGTAAAGCAGGCTTTAAAGTGGATATGTCACATTTTAAATATTGTTAAAATATTTTTGGATCTCAATTAATTATTCTAGCTAATATGTTTGTTTTAAATATTTTTATTTTATTTTAATTGTGCCCACTTTGAGATCAGTTGTCAACTAGGCCTTTATAACAAGTTTTATTAAAGTATACATTAACGATTATTCCTATCTCATGTAAAACACCAATTCCCAGACTCATTTCATTGAAGTGTATGTGGACCTAACTTTATATGTGACTTGAGAAATTATGAGAAAAGATCAGATTTACATACATAGAAGGAAAATATGTTGATGACTTTCTAAACAATGTAATGTGCATGATTCCTTTGTAACTTGTTTTAAATTAAATTAGAGTTTCCTTTTGACGTTTATTTTCTGTATATCTTGGCAGTGTGTAATACAATACAAACAGTGAAAAATATATCTGTTATGATAACCTTTATTTATTAAATAATTAAACCTTCTGATATATGAAAGCTGCTGCAACTGTTATTTTTTTTTCTTAGCAGTCAGTGGTTGTTTTTTATTTTTTTTTCTCCCATGCTTCAGAACAATTTTTATGCACACTACCTGGTTCAGGAACACCCCTCTTGGGTGGGTCGTTGTAAATCAGAAGTTATATGTCATAAAGAAAGTTTTGAAGCACAACCTAAAAAAAGTACAAAAAAAATAAAACCCAAATGTTTTACATCTAGCATGCTGAAAATATTTGATACTTGTTATTAAATGTAAAAGTTCAGGAGAATTCCACTTGAAACCCTTTAAATGTTCAGGATATTATAATCATGTGATATTAACGCCTTTTTTTTTTATAGTCCGTTCTTAAAATGTGAGTGATTTGTCTAGATGGAAAGGGTGTGTATAGCACAGCTGATAATTCCAATGAATGCTTTTTGTCTCATGAAGGACATTACCCAGCAGCATTTATGTGATCTGACGACTGTAACTCTGATGGAGAAGTGCATGCGTTTCCACATACACTGTGCCTACCAACTGTGTGAGGAGCCCATATCCTCATTTGATCCAAAGATCAACAATGAAAACATGACAAAATGTCTGCAGAGCTTAAAGGAGATGTACCAGGACCTAGAGAATCGTGGGATATCCTGCCCTTGTGAGCCAGAGTTCAGAGGTTACAGTGTCCTGCTTAGCCTAAATAAGGGAGACATTCTCAGGTTGGTAAATTAGTCACATCAATGTGGAAAAAGTTTTATACGCCTTCATTGAGACAAGTAAAATCTTCTACACAAATATTGTCTATATGTTTTTTTACTTTTTGTGCTCCACCAACCCTCATTTTCTTTTTCTCTTATTTTTTTTTACTCTGCTCTACTTTTAATACTCCCTCCATTGTTTGTTCCTTAGGGAGGTGCAGCAGTTTCAGCCTGTTGTCCGTAATTCTGCAGACGTGAAATACGCAGTCCAAGTGTTTGCCGCATTGAACAGTACAAACTTTGTCCGGTTCTTTAAGCTAGTTCAGTCAGCATCTTATCTGAGCAGTTGCATCTTGCACGGTTACTTCAACCAGGTAAGAAGTAGATTGAATTACTTAATGAATGTAAAGGATCGGGAACGCTGAAAAATTACACATTTCTTTAAATTTTCTTTTATCACCTACAAGTTGCAGTTTCATGTTGTTATAAATATTGGAAAGGTGAGTCAACTGTCCATAACTTCGTTTCAGGGTTAACGCCAGAGGTGGCTTAGATGATGCTATGTCCCATTATGCTTTGCCAGCCTTAAAGGGACACTCCAGGCACCCAGACCACTTCTGCCCATTGGAGCGGTCTGGGTGCCAACTCCCATCACCCTTAACCCTGTAAGTGTAATTATTGCAGTTTTTATAAACTGCAATAATTACCTTACAGGGTTAAGTCCTCCTCTAGTGGCTCTCTATCAGACAGCTACTAGAGGGACTTCCGGCTTCTTAAAACACGAAAGTGTTTTAAACGATGATGGACATCCTCACGCTTTGCATGAGGACCTCCAGCGTCGCCGGAATTCCCATTGGAAAGCATTGAATAACGCTTTCCTTTGGGGAGGTCTAATGCCCGCGCACGACCATTGCCGCGCATGCGCATTAGGTCTCTCCCGCCAGCTGACGTCGGCAGGGGAAGAGTGTGGGTGTAGCCTGACCAAGCACAAGGGACATTGGCGCTGGATTCAGGTAAGTGACTGAAGGGGTTTTAACCCCTTCAGCAACATGGGTTGGTTGGGGGGGCGGGGAGGAGGGCACTGCAGGATTCTGCAGTGCTAGGAAAACTGATTTGTTTTCCTGGCACTGGAGAGTCCCTTTAAGACCGTTGTTAAACAGCAGTTGGGGTGAGGATGGTGGTCTACATTTTGTCAGCACCTGCTTTACGTCATTTTCAAGAAGCTGACTGGTTGCTCTTAGCTTATTTTATGTACAAATAATTTTTAAGGAAAAAGTGCCATCCTATTTATAGAGCTATGGCAAAGCCACACAATGTTGTACTTTGTATGGAAAACCTGTGTGTTTTCTTTGCAGATTCGACGAGAGGGTTTGCGGGCCCTTAATGTTGCATATACTCCAAGCATCCAGAGACCCACTTCTTTCCCCATGGAGAACATAATGCGTTTGCTCTTTTTCCACGACACTCAAGAGGCAGCGGAGTTTCTCAGTTTATATGGCCTGAGTTTGTTTGACGGGTGAGCTAGCAAGTATTTGGAGTGGAAATCTTAAAATTAGGACCATGAAAGCCTTCTGTCTTTTAATGCTAAAATGAACTCTTTTTTAATAAAGGTACGTGGAGCTAAACCGTTTGGCATTTGCTGAACCAGAGATTCCGCCTAATCCTAAGAAGTGTTTGTTTATCAACAACAAGTGTAACGTTTCAGTGGGAGAAATAGTGAATGGTGCACCTCTAGCACCATACTTAATTCATCATCCCGTATGCAGCTTTGATGCTCAGAATAAGTTTACAGGTGGAATCAGCATTGTGGATCAGGAAAGAAGAATTTGCCAAGAGACAGCTGGTAAGAGATGCATTCTCTTATTTTCCTCTCCTTTTAAACAATTTCAATTTTCATGCCTATTTTGGAACACTATCTATCTCTACCACCATAGGATAAGCATGCAGAATTTGTACGCTTCAGTTTTTAGAGTTTATATTTAGAGTTTTTACCCCACGCCAATGTATGTTGAAGCCTGTATATTTGCAGAACTGCCTTTCATGGAATTCCATGAAATGGCATGCTGCTATCTGTAGTTTTGTATGTAAAATTTCTTCCAACATAAAGGGTGACCCTTCACATTCATTGCACGTTTGCCTACATACATTTTAACTTATCTGATAATTGTGTTTTTCCTTTTTAGTATTTAGTAATTACCGGTACATCATGTAGAAGAGGTGATTACATTTGGGCAGATTTTCTTTTCAGCCAATAGGCAAACCTCATATGAAACTTTGTTACTCCCCTTCCTCTGCCTTAGCTAGACAGTTTGATTCCTAAACACCCCCCCACCCCCCTAAATTAGATTAAATTGTAGAAATTGAAGATTTTCTTTTCTTCAAGCACTTGATTGTAGATGGGCTTTAGGCTTTGTGTCCACCAATCCCTTCTATGTGAACTGTGCTATATACAGGAAAGGATGGTTTGGGCTACAGATCTTTACAGAACCCTGCCTTGTCCTTCAAGGCTAAATATGGATTCTTCCACAAATATCTTGGTGGAGATGTAAACTTTCTAAAATAAAGTTTTTTTCCTTGGCACCTCCCAGGTTAGTGATTTTTTGTTGTGTCGTAGTCTGTCTCTCTTCTGGATATGTGTTGCATTATGTGCATGGGGACCCATGTATTCAGCAGCATTTGTCACTATTCCTTCAGGGTTGATAATATTTGTCAGGTTTATTTGGTTATGGGCATTTTAATATTGGCTAGCACTTCTGTTGTTAAAGGAGAATGGTCACCCTATTAAAGGTGATTGCAGCATTTACTGGGGGTTAATAATGCTGCCTAGGTAAGTCTCAAAGAAAAAAGTACTTCCCTCCACTTCATTTCCACATTGTGGCAACATCCCTGTCCCATGATTCTTCAGGCACGCATTTACACTCTGGCATCTCAGAGAAATGCTATCCATACATGTGTATGCAAAGCATTTTCTCTATCAGTGCCATATGAATTTGTGAGCAATGCATATTGCACTGTAAGTGTTAACAAATTTAGATACTTTGCCTGACTTCACCCTGCAAGCATGTAAATTAAATGAACTATGAAGAATTAGAGGGAGATAAATAGCACAAGCAATTGTTAACTTTTAGTTTGATATTAGTTTGTAATAAAATTGAGGAATTGGTGTGATGTTTCATAGTCCACCCATTGTACAGTGCTACGGAGTCTGATGGCGCTATATAAATAATAAAATAATTATAATAATCTTCCTAATATTTATACTTAATGATCTGATTGTTAGGAAGTCATAGACTTTAATTCTGCCTGTAACCCCTTACCTCCTAACAAAATACATGCTGTGCTAACTATTGTATTGCATTGAAAGCAATGCAAAATTAAAGTTAGCCCATAGTGCCCCTGCATTTGTATGTCAGGGCTTCTATCTGTTCCTGTCTCTGATCCTCTCTGCAATGAGATGTAAAAAGCATTGACTGTTTTTTCCCAATCCTAAAGGACATATTTTAATAGCCAGGTAGGTGAAGTCTGGTCTAAGCCCACTGAACACACCTCTCTACCAGCCGCGTTAGATTGAGAACAGAGTTTGACTTGGTTGTGACTGGGGAAAGCACCTCTAGCCGCTGTCAGGAAAAGAGCCTTGAGAAATGTGTTTAACCATGCAATGAAAATATTGCCTACAAAACGGTAATGTTTTACACTGCATGGTTCAAATAGCAGGGGTACTGCACACTGACCACTTCATTGAGATGAATTAATCTGGGTGCCTTTTGTGTCCCTTTAACCCCTTAAGGACACATGACATGTGTGACATGTCATGATTCCCTTTTATTCCAGAGGTTTGGTCCTTAAGGGGTTAAGATGTTGAGTGAAACAGAGGTTGAATGGGTGTCCAACAATGTAACTTTTGCTATAATTCAGCTGGATGCCATTTCTTGTATAGACATCTGAACTTTGTACCCTCTTTTTGGGCTCCTTGTCCTTTCTGTAATTGGAAATTCAATTGCAAACTGTAAGGGTCCCACCATGGCCTGCCTCCACATTCAGATGAAAATCAGAATTAATACATATTGATAAGTTGATTTAATCTTTGTAGAAAGAGTTTGCAAAGTTCCACCCCTTCCACATATGTTTTTATTACCATTTTCTTCTTTGTTTCTTCTCCATATATCTCCATAGATCGTAATAATATTTTATGGTTAAACATAAATTTAAGTTTTGGAGTTTTTGTGTTTTTTGGTGCATCATTTTCAGAAACAAATGTAGTAGTCAAAACTGCTGAGGCTGAAGAGGTTGCAATCAAACGTACAGTTGTATTTCAATCAACCCCTGTGGAGCCAACCGTTCCTACCCAGACTGTATTCAAGCCCATCTTTCCACCTGAACGGATGCCATCTCCACCTAAACCTATTTACAGTGACCAGGTATGTGTATCTCGATTGTGTGCGGACATGTTATCATGTAATATGTGGAAAACAACTGATAAAAAGTCCTCATCAGTGACTTACGTTGTTGTTACATATTTATTTGTAGGATATTGCTCCCGTGCTTGAGGACCTTGTTGAAGATGTACTCAAAGAATACAGTATGGAGCTCACTAAAGCGGGAGTTTCATATGTTTCTTTTGCCATGAGGTAAAGATAAAATGTTTTCACCACCCCACTTTCTATGTTATCTATAATGCATAACCATTCACTTTAGTCCCTGTGTTACGATTTTTGTCTTATTTTGTTGCTCTTTTGGTAGTTTACATGGTTTCATTGTATCTAATGGCACATGCTACTATAAGTAATTTGCCAAATTACTTACTGCGCACTTTAACTTTATTTTCCAATAATTCTCAATCAGTCATTCTAGCTAAAGTGATACAACCCAAAAATATTCTGAAAACACAGATCAGGATTTCTGTAACTGTGATTTATGTTGATTAAAAAAACTTTCTTTGTTTTGTTTTTTTGTAAAACAACTATTTAGGTATTCTAGAGATATTGGGAGGCACGATCACTGTAATTTCAATCTGACACTTTAAGTTGGCATCAAGCCTATTTGAGAAAAAACAACCAGAGTATATAAATATTATATAATATTTTAAAAAGATCTATAACAGAGGAAAGCAGACGACGATAAAGTACTGAAATAAAACTTTGATATCCGTGTATGAACAAATGTCATCTTGCCCTGAAGTAGGTATAACCTACAGAATGGATCTCAAATATAGTATAATACAATTGTTTCTTAATTACACTGTAACTTCAAACAGTTTGCTATTGTGTGAAAAAATAGACCCCTTTAGTGCTTGAACAGACTGCTACACGTTCATACATAGTGGAATTGTCAGTTCCAAGGATTTTCCAAATTATGTTTACTTATCGTGTGGGTTTCTGAAAATTAAGCTTAAATGTAGAAATCAATGCTGCTGTATATCCCTCTATCCAGGAGCTGGGCACCTCCATCTTTGTCTCCATCATAAATGTTGACCTTTTATGCCATTAAATATAGTTTGTGCAAACGAAGAAGAGGAAACAATGTCCATGTTCTCCTTCTCACTTGCAATGTATACCCTTGCTGCGCCTAACCTGAAATGGATTGTAATATATATTTTAAAGGTAAAAAAGTGAATACCATTCTGGGTGATCTTCAATGTTTTAGTCATTGGTGTCATTTACAGAGAAGTGTCAGTTTTATTTAAACCCTTTAAAAACTCCATGATTTACCAACCACATAATCTACCCACCAGGAAAACATTTTTCTATGCTGATGAGTTTAAATGAGTGAGGTGTCATTTTCTATCCTTCCAAATGCACACTTTCCAATCCCTTCTTATTTTATGTTTTGCAGAGAGTCCTCTTTGCTTTCAGATGGTCTTTTTACAGACGTGGTCTCAGAATTAACACAGAAGGTTGCAAAGGAAGTAATTCAAATGGAGACTCTGAGGGTACAGGATGAAAAACGTAGGATAGAGGAAGAAGCCAGGTAAGCGGAACACTGGCAATTTTGCAGGATAGGGATACTCATTAAATATTATTATTGTGATAAGAAATAGTCATTTGTTAGCGGAACAGGGGCGCAATGAAGGTCAATTTACTAGAGTTGTTCATCTTGTTTAATTTTGTTGTTTATCTTAGATTAAAGCAGGAGAGGGAGAAGTTGTTGACTTCAATAAGCAGTTCCCTGTGCAGAGATTTACTCCACAATGTTTTAACTAAAGATATCTACAGTATTGCAAGTGAAGGACTGCAGTAAGTATTCTAAAAGAGTACCAAACTGTGATGTGTGTTTAAACTTGAATTCATCTGTTTTTCTTCTTATGCAACTCCTGCATATCTGTGTCAGAGGAGAACAATTAAGAGGGTTATAGAGAGGAGAGGTTAGTGTGTAAAGGGAAAGTAGGAAGTAAGGATAGACGCAAGACAGATGTGCTCAACTAGAACACAACAAAAAATGAATTGCGTAGTTGTGTTGACATCAAACTAGACTTTCGATTCACACCCACTGTACCCATCTGCTGGTAGTAGGCAAGTATTGCAGAATGCGAATAAAATTTAACAAAACTCAACATAGTAGAAGGGGGGAAGACTTGTAATAATACAAAAGGAAATTTGTATGTCTATTCAAGTCATGCAATGCACTGATACTCAAAAATAGGTATATTCTAGTTGTTCCCGTACATTGCAGAATGTGTGTAAAAAAGCAATCTATTTTATATATGAAATATTTTTTATATGTGCCATTGGAGACATTCTTTACATTACCATGCACATATGAAGTATCGGAAGGAGAAACTGAAGGGGAAAGTTGGATTTGCTAAAGAGACGATAATGTGGAAAGAGAAGGTGTGAATGTGTACAGATAAGCAAGAAAAATTACTTAACTGGTCTCCAGTATAAATTGCCAAATTGTAGGATCATGGAACCAGAAACTAGCAATATACACCAGGTTTATCCCTCTGAGATCAGTGAGCAAATATTGCAAAGTACGAATGGAAAAAAAAAGAAATCTCTATGTTAGAGAAGGCAAAAAAACCCTGTATTAACAGGAAGTGTATCTGGTTGACGCACTGATACTAAAAAGTAGGTGCATGCTATTTGCTTGTAACAAACCTACATATGTTTAAAAAAAAAGAAAAAAAAAAAAAGAGAGAGAGACAGACTCCCACGATGTCTCCAGTGTGTCACCATTCCATACAAAAGGAGTGCCTCGCAGCCCAGGGAGTAATAGAATTATTGCCCTGTTGGTAAATATTATTTCTTGTAAAAAAAATGGGGAGGAGGCTAACAATCTTAATAACGAAAACATTCTTGAACCATAATTGTATGATCCTGTATATAAAAAAAAATAACAAACCATAAAATGTATTACATATCCACAAGCCATAAATTCTGTCTCTGCAGCAGACGAGAGCCTTGCAGATGTTGTTAGTCAGGTGGTCTGTGCACTCCATTCAAAGTGTTCCCCACCCTTAGAGCAGCATACAAGTGTGTAGTCGTACCTATTCAAGGCAAAGTAGGGTCCATTATATAGCAGGAATCAAGCTAAACAGGCCAGCCTCATTGGAACCCCCACAAGACACCCCCAATTCACCAGCTCTCAACTCCTGAATGCAACATCTGGTGTCCCACCAGTGGATAACAGGCCCCACCAGTACATTAGACCTCTTGCCATCCAGATTTAGATGGCCCCTGGTGCACAGGAGAACAGGGCCTAACCTCCCAACCTCCATGATAGGACTCATAGCTTAAGACATTGGCTTCTCACCTGGCACTCCTATTGCAGCAGCTATTTTTCAAGAGTTATAGTTAAAACAGAAAAATCAGATCTCAAAACCGCTAAGGAGAACGTTACCGCCATAAACTACCAACCATAATTGGACCCTCAGTGCTTGAGGTTCAGAAAAAAAAAAACAGGTGGACTGGGGTAACCTCAGCCTATGGAGGAGGAATGGGGACAGTAGCAAAGCTATATTCAAGACTGGTCATTTGCAAAAGGTATGATGTTGCTCAGTCCACAGGAGACACCAGTCTCTTAGGAAAGCTGTTTCTATCCTGCACACTGATGTGGCGGCTTTCAACTGTGGTAAATGGGTGGAAGTGAGTATATAATAGACTTCTTCTAGTAGGTTTTAGTGGTCATATAGCTGGATTCCCTGCTGCAATTTTCACGATAGCGGGCACTACACAGCAGGGCTGTGGGAATAATTTGAAGGTTTGCAGCTCATTTAAGGTTTAGATATTGAATCAAAATTGCTGCATTTTTTTTTTTAGAGTATAGGCACATGAGCTGGAGCTGCATAAGATTGTGAATGTTCAGCTCAACAGTCTGGCTCTGCCCCTACCTCCAAGTAGTTGTGCACACCACATGAACTTCACTGATCCCTTTTTTGTTCTCGTTTATGCTTTCTTGTCCCCACTCATTTGTATTTCCAATGTTTACTTGCAGACAAGCTGTGCAGCTGGACCATAGTGCTCGTATTGCACGCTGTTCCCAGGATGTGTGTGACCAATATCTTGGTCAGTTTCTTGATGAGGAGATGGTGCGGGTAGCCAGAGAATCCCTACGTGAAATTAATTGTTACAGCAAATATATGCAGAGGTGAGATTTCACAGAACACTAGTACTGCACTACACACTGCCTTGTTTTTGTGGTAATAGAATACTTTCCTCAAATGATACATGACTATTGAAGGGGGAAATGCCAAAACTTCTAAGCGTGTCTGTATAAACCTCTGTAAAGGAACATGAGCACCCTTTGAAATTCATGCTTTATTATTAGGTCAACATTTCAGTTTTTGTTTTGAACCTTGTTTAAGTCACACGGGTAATTCCTTTTGTTGGTATATCCTGCCCTATTGTGGTCTTAGCATAGTGTCCTCAGGTGATCTTATGAAAGTACCCTGTGTTTTGGACATTTTGAGTGGCGTTAAGAAAAAAAAAAACGCATTTGGAAAGCATTTCTCAGCATTTCTGCAAACCAGCCCAATTTTGCAGTCTTTTGGATAGATCAATAACCAATACTTTGAGGATTACACAGTTTACATCACTGAATATTGTCAATACCAAATCCTTTCTAAAAACTGAAATTGTGAAACACAGAGAGTTTGTAACTTTCCTTCTAAATTAACTGTAAAATGTAATTAAAAAAGGAATATGATCTATTTAATTACATGAGCAGTTCCACAATTATCAAATACATATGCTAATTTGTCATCAGATGGAGAGATGTTTTGGCTTCCCGAAAGAAACTGAGGCGTCAGATGAGAGGGTTTCCTGCTGCTCCCGGTTCTGTGGCTCATGATGACAAACTGAAGGCATTAATTCCCAGTGCTACTTTAACCGTTGATGTACAGAGCCTTGCCAATGGATTCTTAGACATGGGGCATGCTGGAAAACTAAGCGTGTCCATCACCAGGTAAGACCATAAGTAATATATTGCTGTGGAAATGTCAATTGATGTTATTGCAGTAAAAATGGGATGCAATTACTTGCCCATTCATTTTCTGCAGTGAGGTGTATCATCCTTCAATGTTCACATCATGCCCACAGTGCTGTGCCCTTCAAAATTCTATTTTTTTTACAGGCTCATGCAGCTCCGAGAGCAGACTTTCCAGAAAATGAAAGTTCAACATTATTTTCAGGAGCTCCTGTGGTATGTGCCCAATAATTTTTTTATTTTTATTTTTATTTTTTTTAATGAAAATGTTTTTTGGGTAGACGTCTTCCTCACTCTTCATGTCATTACTCTTACATCTGTTCCCCTCACTGTAGTGATGCCGCATGGTCTCCTTTGGATTTACCTCCACTGATTGTACAGCACCTTTCATCGTGGAAAAAATGTATTTTTTGGAAGGTAGTTCTTATTTTACCAGAATATGATGAACCCAATGACCCTAACTGGTGAGTGAGATTTGTGTGTGATCCAAGACGTTTTGTGTAATGATTTTGGTTTTCTTTTCTTCTTTACTTTGATGTGATGGGGCATTCTAATGGCCATAAAATACATTGTTTGCTGTCAGATCATGTTGGTACTTTTCTGTCTTTTTTATGGTTTATTCTGTATTTTCAGGTGTACATATTATATCTGTTATATAGCAAACAAAACTAATTCTATTGAATCCAGTTTCTTGGGGCATCAGAGAACCCTAGTCCTATCTGAATCCCAATGAGGTCATTTTTGTATAGGTTGATAACAGCTCCAAGCTTCATTATGCAGTGAATAAACTAGTATCTGCCATACTAGAAGCTAGTATTTGGAACAATTATCCATACTTAAAATATCTGCACTTGTGTTCCAGGGGAAGTGCTGTTTGGTGTAAGTTAGCATGGTTTCCCTTCCTGGTATTTCATGAAGAAGCCGACTTAAGCACTAGACTACATCTCCCTAATACTTTGCCAATATTATGGCTGTAAGAGCATTATGGGAGATGTAGTCTGAAATGATGAATGGTGCCTACCCATGCACTAGACCATTTTTTTGACTGGAGGTGACCCCCACTTTCCAACCTGGATGTAACATTTAGCTTATTTTCCAGATTGACTGACCAGCTAAATTCCTTTCTAGAGTTTGCTGAATATTCTGTGAGAGAGTGAGCAAAGCTTTGCTCTCTTACAGCAAGATGAGTTAAGAACATTGTCAGAATGTTTTCTGTCTTGTAAATGACATGGCATTTCCTTTTCTTGTTCCAAACTAGAATGTATGTTTTTCCACCCTCATCATGTTAATTGTTTTTGTCACTATCTTAAATGTTACTGTGAGTGGTCGGTCTTCTCACCACAAAGAAAAAAAAATAAAACATAAATCATTGCATGTAATTAACACTAAACTCTTGAACATTGTTCCTATTCACTAATCATGTGAGCGTTTTTCACACTAGCCCCACCTGACAGTTGTGAATCTTCCTTACAGCATCCTTTCTGAGTGGTTAAAGGCAAAGTTCTACAGGATGGATAGTGAGGCCACACAGAACCAAGAACAGCAAGTACAGACACTAGCACTGTACAGCTCATTGGAGAGACATGGAGAGAGCTCTGTGTGTGTAAACGTGTGTGTGAAGGTGAGACTACATCTCCTTGTAACATCCAGGAACTTTAGTTTCCTCTTCTCTTCATTTTAGCTAGGGATCAACCGATATTGATTTTTTTTTTAGAGCCGATAATTGGTGAACTTTCAGGCCGATAGCCATTTTTTTAAAATAAACAATTTTTTTGCTACGCAAATCTACTGTTAACTGAACATGTTTATTTTATTTATTTTGCAAATCTTTTTTTTATTAGGATAAATGCCCAAAATATACATGCCAGTCAGAATTTTCTATGTTTTCAAGAATATATGTGTGTGTAGTGGATGCAGTGAGAGTATTTGATTTGTGAATGCAGTGTGTTTGTGTAGTGGGTGTATAGGGAATGTAGGGTGTATAGGGAATTCAGAGTGTGTTTGTGCCGTGAGTGTTTGTGTTTTGTGGGTGTGTGTGTGTGTGTGTATGTATATAATGAATGTAGTGTGTGTGTTTGTGCAATGAGTGTTTGTGCAGTGTGTGTATATAATGTATGCAATGAGTTTGTGTAGTGTATGTATAGAATGAATGCAGTGTGTGTGTGTTTGTGCAATGAGTGTTTGTGCAATGTGTGTATATAATGAATGTCGTGTGTGTATATAATGAATGTAGTGTGTGTTTGTGTAGGTATGGTGAGTGTGTAAAATTGGGGGGGGAGGGGCTTTTTTATTTTTTAAACTTTTTAAAAAATATTTAATTTTTTTATGTTTATTTTAATTATTGCCACAGATGGAGTAGTGTCTCCACCACTTAATTTATTTAATTATTAGCCCAACTGTGCAGGTGGACAGTGATCTGTCCACTACAAATTCTTTGAATGGAAGCCCTGACCGAATATCCAAAGGTGAGGCAGGAGCTTTTAGTCCCCCCCTCCCTGCTTCTTACCTTGCCAGAGAGGGGGGATATGGCATTCCCTGGGGGGCCCAGCACACTCTTACTTACCTTCCCAGCAGCTCCCTTCAGCTCCTCTGTCTAAGTCTCGCGGCCTGTGTGCCGTGCGGAGCGTTATAATGGTAACCCGTGGGACTCGCAAGATTTACACTGGGGAGCTGAAGGTAAGGTAAGTAAGAGCTTGCTGGGCCCTCCAAGACCCTGATGGCGGGCCTGGTCTGCATTATCGGCAATATCGGTATTGCTGAAAATACAGAACTTCGGCCATCCCGATAATCGGTTGAGCCCTAATTTTAACCTGTATCTCCACTGTGTTTGGGAAAAATTCCATTTGGAAACACAATCTATATCTATTGTTTGTTTCTTCAATCAGCTGCAGTCTACAATTTGTATGCTTATTTTATGCTTCACACTTCTTCCTGTAAAACTCTGTGTTATCTGCTAATTTTAGCTTGTAAATTGCACCATAATTCCTTTTCTTAGTCTTTTTGTTTCCTCCATCTCTTTACATTAAAATTCTGTCAGAAATTCTTACATGTCCAGTACATCGAGTTTACATTATTAATCCTGAATCTGCAGGCAGTACATGGGCCCATCACTCCATCTGAGTTGGAGCAAGCTGAGACTCAAAAACAGTTCTTGGGGACAAGTGGTGTTGTGTTCCTGTTGCCAACTCGACCCAATGTAAATGATGATGATGATGAGGATGATGTGTATTGGATCACTGCAGTACTCCAGCTTAAGCAGCTTCTACAGGCAAAGCCGTTCCATCCCCCACCTCCCCTTGCAGTTCTTGTACCTGGGCAGTGCCAAGACTCAATGATTGAAGTTGAAGAAGGTCAGTATTAATCAGCCATTACTAAACCTAGACTGAAACATCAATATATTCCCCACACAATTAAGCAAAACCAATCTAGTATGTAAAAACTTTAAAATCTTTGTAATAACATTGATGTACAGAAAGGTAGTATTAAAGTGACTGTCTCTTCCAAGTATTTTTTGTAAAATGTTTACTTTCCCTGATTTTAACAAATATCTATTTGTTGGTTATGAAAATTAAATGTAAATTTCCCACATCTCTATTTACCTCTGTCCTGGGACTGAGCGCCTCCAACTTTGCTTTTAGCACTTGTCAGTCAAAATAGATTGAGGAAGAGAAAGAAAGATGAGAAGATTTAGGAAACCGTAGTGTACTAAAAGTGGTGCAAGAATGTCAGAGGAGAAATCACCAGTGGAATGTTCCTTCTGGTTTTCTTAGTGATTGCCTCACTTTTAATACATGGTGGCACTTTTCAGAACAAACCGCTATGATAAATCTCCGTTTATATACCTCTGTTTCTCTTCCTTCAATGCCATCTGTAGCTTTGCCTGTGTTGTGGCATTGCCTGTACTAAACTGGATTGTAATGTCAATTGTTAAATATTTGCTTCACATAAAAAGTTTAACATAAGTTAAAGGGACACTAAGCACCCAGACCACTTCAGCACATTGGAGTTGTCTGGGTGCCAACTCCCATCACCCTTAACCCTGAGCATGTAATTATTGCAGTTTTTTTAAAACTAAATAATTACCTTGCAGGGTTAAATTATCCTCTAGTGGCTGTCTACCAGACAGCTTTCCTATGGGGAGATCTAATGCGCGCGCACAGAATATCACAAATGGCAAAACGATCTTGCTTAATGTGTCAAATGTCATCATAGACATGCTCAGCCTACAAATAAAGGCCACCAACCTATACTTTAATTTTACATTTTGCAATGATGTGATTTATTATCTGTTTAACTTGGTTACAGAGACATTCTTTCACTTTATCTTCCCAATGTTTAGCTTCAGTAATATCCCAGTAGTTTGAATTTACTTTGTAATGCCTGTGACTTGTCCTTCATCCTTTAATTAAATTTGATAAGTGGTTTTGTGCTGTTTTGTTTTTATGTCTAGAACTGAATCTTAAAGATCTGGTTTCATGTGGTCTACTCTCGGAGTATGTAATTCTCCCTATCCCAGGTACTGTGAATGACCTGCAAGGTACAAAGAAGGTAAGTGACATGGTCCCATCTAACAATATTAGTGAAAGGTATAACTTATTTGCCTTTCTAAGTTAGTCTGTTATATTCTTTTACACTAGTCTTGTAAAAATCCATAATATCTGTGTTACTCAGGACCAGACTTTCTTCTCCTTTAGTTTCTCTCTCTCTTTCCCTCTCTATGTCCTGTCTAATTCTCTTATTGTAACTCTCTTATTTTCGTTGTTTATCTCTCTCTCTCCTTTATTACTCTGCGTTTATGTAATGTATAACTTCAAAATAACATTTTCCAGTACTTTTCACACTTTTTATTTCGGCCCCTATTTGTTTTTTTTCTTCTTCCTATAACAATGCTGTTTTTTACAGGTCTCTTCTGCCGTGCAGTTCCTTGTATCCCACTGCCCTCAATTCTTGGAGCTGCGTTCCCTCCCTTTGCGTCAATACATAGAGGATGGTGTGTACAATACCTTCAGCAAACACTTTTATCATGATGCTTGTGAGCGCACAAAAGCAAAGCTGCCTCCACAGAATCCTGCAGCCATCATTGACCTCTACAACTGTGCTCTCTCATTCCTGGCAAAGGCTGTGTCTTTAGAATATCTTTCTGACCTTTCTTGGCCAGTCACAGAGTTTACATGTCCAGAAGGAAGCTCTTTATTGCCCCATCTGGGTTGGAACAGCCTCACACACCTCGCCTGGCTGAAACAGGTTGTGCTTTCCTTCCAGTTACCACAGATGGACATGCCACCTCTAGGGGGTAAGAATGGGGATAACACTGATGGGTATGAATGGCAAGATCAGAAGGAAATTGTTAATGCAGTTGTTTTTGATCATGTGTGCTATGATATGGCAATTTACGGGAGGGATCTAAAATATGTTTGTTTCTTACTGGACAGCTCCCTGGCTTCCTGTTTGTTCTATGATCCTCGAGTACGTAAGTCAGATTTGTAAGTACCGAAAGTCTTTGCCTGTCCTAATCTCTGAGGTAAAACATCTCCTGTGGAACTCTTACAAGTCCTGGGAAGAGAGTAATGAGGAAGCAGATGGGATGGGACCTCCTGTACAAGATATTCCCTGGAATGGATTAATATCTCTTTGTATCAATCACAAATTGCGAGAGTGGGATTCGCCATTGAGATCAGATAAATCAGGTGAGCTTGTATGTGCACCCTAACAATTCTTACTTTGACTGCTTGTGGTTCCACTGTAACAGGACCTTTTGCACCCAAAATCCTAAAGTTTATAAATAAATCTTATCTGAGTAGATAATGTGCCTGTCCTTTTTGGTTGTAATAAGAACTTTCTTTGATAAAATATTTGTCTCTCCTTTAACTATTTGGGTAATGGTGATTTTTGAGACTGTAAGAGAGAGACACATACTGAGTATGGGCAAGGGAGAGTACGGGAAGCACCTTAAATTGTACAATTAAAAGGTTACTCCAAGAACCATGACCATTTCAGTGTCTTGAAGTAGTCATGGTGCTCAAAGTCTGTATGTGCAGCATTTCAGTGTAAAATGCTGCACATACAGAGATATTTCAGATTGCTGTCGGAGGTGTAATTCCATCTCTGGCAGTTTCATTAGTTAGCCCAGAACAAGTGTTCTTGGCTGGCTAATGTAAATTATGTGCGTAATCCATTCCGATGGTCAGATGGTTATTCATTGTCTTGGTGCGCCCACCAGGGAATGACAGGCAGGATCGGCTACTGGCTTCTACAAAACCTGGATGTGTATAACCGAGCTAAGAGGGGGTTCGGAGTCTGACGGACTCCAGGTAAGAGGGCAAACTGTTGCACAACAGTTTGCCTCATTACCGATGAACAGCGACAACTAACACCATATTCACTACAGTGGTCTGTAGTGGTTATGATCTTTGGAGCCACCCTTTAAATACTGATGATATTGAAATCATATCAAAATTAATAGGTAAATAAACCATATAGGTGTAAATTACAGCACAAAGCAGTTCTAAAGAACCAGCAAAATGAGCTCTTATGCTCCTTTTATGTGTAATGATAGAAACAGTTTAACCAATTCATTCACATGTAATAGCATAATAGTATATTCTCTGAAGAATATATAAATAATCCCGTGCTTCTGCTTGATACCCTTTACCTGGATTAAAAACTGGAGTAAAAAGCATTTTTCATATATGATAATTTAGTAGTACGTAATAAAGAATTGCATACAAAATCAAGTTCTTTGCAAACATTTTTTTCACAGAATATTTCAGATTACACAATAATGTGTTACTCTCCGCAGATTCTAAGGAAGAATTGCTTGTATACTTTTTGGAAGAAGAATTAAGTAATTTTACACCTCCTGAGACATGGGAAAATGCTCGACACAACACACTTCAGTTTCTGCAGCAGTCTAATGATAGGTGAGTTGGTAATAAGTATTACTTTTGAATTGTGTGAGTTCACAAAACATGGTGTGTCTTTGCCTGTGTGCCTGTTGTTTATAGTGTGAAAAGCCCCAAACGACTTAAACCTTTTATTGGCATCTTTTTAACTGTCTTTTGTCTTGTGTTCTTATTATAGTTCCCCTGGACAAAGGTTGCATTCTCGACAAACACCCAAGGCTGTGGGCTCACTTCAGTTTACTTTCAACAAAGACGTGGAAGACATGACAATGGATACAGAGACTGATTACCAAAAAGCCATTAGCAAGTTGAAACACACCATAAATGCTGAAAAGGAGGAAAGCCAAAGGTAAAGGATTAATAGTTAAAGAACACTATAGGGTCAGGAACACAAACATGTATTCCTGACTCTATAGTGTTAAAACCACTGTGTAGCCCCCTGGCTCCTCCTCACCCCTCTAAATATAACAAAATACTACCTTTATTCAAGTCTGCTGCTGGCTCACCCACTGATCTGCCTGCTTGGCTGACATCATGAGAAGTGACATCATGAGAAGTGCTTGGCATAAGATTGGCTGAGACTGTCAAGGAGGCAGATCAGGCGCAGAGCCTGCACAAGCCAAACACAGCCATGGCCAATCTGCATCTCCTCATAGAGATGCATTGAATCAGTGCATCTCTTTGAGGAAAGTCCAGTGTCTCCATGCAGAGGGTGGAGACACTGAATGATGCAGCACTGCCCAGTAAGCACCTCTAGTGACCAGTGGAGGTATCCCTAGGCTGTAATGTAAACACTGCATTTTCTCTGAAAACATGGTGTTTACTGCAAAAAGGGGAATGATTATATTCATCATAACAAATACAATAAGCTGTAGTTGTTCTGGTGACTATAGTGTCCCTGTAATATGAAGAGCAAGATCTTCTTGAAGAAATCTACCATTATGCAGTCAAGAAGGATTGTTTTCCCTTTTTGTGGCATAATAGGAAATTGCTTTCAATTTTTAATATATATATTTTTTCCTTTCCTTTGGATCAGTAGAATAAACAAAAGTGTGAAAGAGTGAATTGATGGACTTAAGTGTTTTTTCAAACTAGATTACTATGTAATTCATAAGACTATAAATTGTGAGGAAAAGCGCAGGACAAGGTAAGTTTCATGTAAAATGGAAATAATGAGTCATAGGGGCAGTAAAAGCATGTAAGCTGATGGAGGATAATTTGGTAAATAGTATTCACGTTGATTTCTTGGTTTTCAGGTTTGAAGAAAAACTGCAGCACTTACTTGAAGAGAACGCTCTGGAAAAGTCTGCATCTCTCTGCCTTCCACTATACCTACCTGAGGCTCTACTAAAACCTTCAGGAATTCTGCCTGAAGTAATGGATGGAAGTCTGTGTATTGCCTCTTCATCTATAAAAAGTACTGCATGTACGCCTTTCTTGCAAGAATCGTTAAGAAATGCTACTATGTGTGTTACAGAAAGTGTTATGGATAGAACACCACTGTCATGCTCTTTAACAGACACTATGGACGAACTACGCAGGCAGCTGAGAGTAAATCAGCAGGAGGACAAGTCTTTTGAATTGCACTTGAAGACGCTATTGGATGTGGGAGAACTTTAAGCAGATATTTGTTGCTTAACACATGTTGCAGACATAAAACTGCACCTATCAAAACCTGTGATACATTGCTTTTGTTACTAGAGATGGCGCCATGGGTAGATGGCGCTCCTATGATCTCAGTCTCTATTTGTTTAAGTCGATTTCATGTTATTTGCTTATTTTCCCCAGAGGTGTATAGTTATGGGGCTGATGGGTTGATAACCGCAATCTGTTTATTTTAAGTATGACAAAAGAGGATTCTATTTTTTCGTTTGTTTTAAAATGTGTAAATAAAATTACATTTTTGTTTTTAAAAAACCAAAATATTAGAAACCAAGCAGCATGCACCATCCTCACATTTTATTTCTGGTTTTATTTATTAACAAGACCATCACTTATCATTGTGTGCAGTAAATAGGAGGGGGGACTAAAATAGGAGCATTTGACACTTATGATTAACAGAAAAGGGTCAGGGTTGATTTAAAAAAAAAAAAAAAAAGAGAGCAATTGAAAGGGAAATAAAAATAGAACATAGGGACCCAAATGGTGGAAAAAGCATTTTGTGGCTTGAAGCATAATCCTCCTGTGGTATCCAGTCTATGGTGCAGTTTGATTTTTTTTTGTTGTAAAGCAAATATGCAAAGTTGAGATGTTCAACAAGGCTGCCAATGGGTGTGGATCAATGTTTATTGCTGACTGCCTTAGCTGTAAGAGAGTACAGAAATGGCATAGTAATCTAGGTGGAAATTGAGTTCAACCTGTAAATACATTTTATGCAGTTGATCAAAAAGAACCTTGTCTTCTGCCGTACAAATATTCTTGCTAATAAATAGGATAGCAACTACAAGTTTGTTATGACTAGACTTGGAAACGACTGAAATTTTAGTTAGTTGGAACAGATTAACTGTTCTGTTAAAAAGAGCAGAAATAATGTGTGACTGGGAATATACTAGTACATACGCTTATAGTTTATGTCACTATAAGTATATATCCCACCTCAGAATTGACACATCAGTGAGACTCTCCAGGGGTGCTTCAGGGCTTAACCCCAATGTTATATACAAAACAAAAGGAATGGCAAAATCATCTCACAAAATGTGAGAAGACTGCCCCCTGGATATATATAACAGTATCCTTGATAAATGGCTGTAGTAAGTGAAAAACAAATGTAACAAGACAAAAAAGAGGGGAGGGGGGGAAAGAAACAAAATAATAACAATGAAAACCTGAGCCTAATAATGCTCTCCTCTACCTCATATTAATACACAATATGAAGGTAACATTCTAGATTTAGAGCATCATGTACCCAGCTGGTTTTATTATATCGACTAATCGGAACAGTGTTCAAAATAAGGTTAATCCAGAAATAATGAATTAGTAAGATTCTATGCCAAAGAAAGGGTTAAAATTCCTATAGTTACATAGTTACATAGCTGAAAAGAGACTTGCGTCCATCAAGTTCAGCTAGGTAGATTGTAATGTCTAAATTATTAGTATTATTATGTTATTTATATAGCGCCATCAAATTCCGCAGCGCTTTACAATGGGTGGACGAACAGACCTGTAGTTGTAACCAGACAAGTTGGACACACAGGAACAGAGGGGTTGAGGGCCCTGCTCAATGAGCTTACATGCTAGAGGGAGTGGGGTAAAATGACACAAAAAGGTAAGGATAGTATTAGACTAGTGACAGTTGCAGAAGAGGAATCAGGAGCTATTAACAGTTTAATTGATAAATTAAATAGAGTAAAAGAGCCGTTAGATATATACCGATCTCCCCTTTGAATAGTATACACGGAGAGAGACCTGGAGTACCTACAGGGACACCTTAATTAGCAAATAAATATAATCTGAATGTTTTGATACAGGTACCAGGAACACAAAACTCCTGTGCTGTGCCCAGTCTATATATAGCCACCACAGGACAGAGATAGAGTAGGATAGAACAAGCCTCTCTCCCTTTGAATCTTACTAGATAGGTAGAGGAAATAATAGAGACCTAAAGTAAATAGATTCAAACCATCATGCAAGCAAGTGTTCTTGGATGTAAATACATGTGCTAAACACAAACAGTAAGTAACATGCCCATTTAAAATATCACGACAACCCGACGCGCGTTTCAGTGCAAAGGTATGTGCACATTCGACAGGGGAAAAGAGTATAATGGAATCAACTCCCTTTATATAGGTATATCTCACGTTATTCCCTGTGGTCGGAGCTAATCGCTAGTGTGTACGTCACCAGATGTACTTAACCACCATAAAGATATCTCATTCACTCCCCAGACACCTGCCATTTTTATACAGACCAATCAGGTAAGTTAGGAGGTGTGGTTACTATTTTCCTGAATGAGTGACATGATGGTGTGTAACAGAAATAAATATTACGGACCTTAACCGATCTTGTATGATGTGTTACATATCTGCCCGAGATCCAATTTATAATAGGGGAGAGCATTCAGATGAGCCTCTAATTGTGTAGTAAGGTTGATATCTATGTCATCATGACACTAAATTCAAACACTCCCGGCCTCCTCATCTTTGAGTGAATATAGTGGCCCTGCAAAATCAGCCATCTATTGAGGAGGGACACTGAGAAAAACCTCTACATGTATGAAATGTAATAGAAATAATTTATAGATCGTTATGAATTAAGGTTTTTACGTTCGTTGAGTGGATACAAGTCACAGTAACATTGTTTGAAATGTTAAATACATAAAATAATTTTGCAGTTAAACATAGCTATTACTATGTATAAGAATACCTTGTCTAATATGGATCTACAATATATCATAATCAATATATCATAACTCTGTGATCCAAAGGATCTCCAAAACGCATGAAGGTGGAAATCATGAATAATCAGAATTCACACTTTGATGCAGGATGGTATCCTGTCAAAAACATTCTTAAAAGATTCTGGCAATTATTACATCAGGACAACCACAAAGTAATTACCCCACATGTATTAGTCAGTCAGTCACAGATTAACGTGGGCATAATTTTTTTTTTTTGTGTAATATTTTTTATTGAGTTTAGAATAGTGGTAACAGATGCACACAGTTGTACAGTTGCAGAATAACAATTACATTTCGCTTTATACATCTTTAGGAAGTGTTTCATACTTCGTCCAGTGTTTGGGAACCCCAAAGCTTGTTGGGGAGGCCAGTCACAGCATCTCCGTGCCATAGCATTTTAACGTTGTGGCCTGCACCTGTACCAGTGTTATTTGACAACTAACCTAGTCTTGCGACTAGGTATCACCCTATTATTGTAGGGGGGGGGGGAGAGGAGGGAAGAGGAGGGATGGAGGGGAAGGTCGGTTTGGAGCGTCTGGAAGTGTTTCCAAGTGTTAGCTAGCGCCATGACTGCCATCCTGTGTGGCATTTTGTCGCCATGCTGTCCATGTCTGCCACGCTGTTTGCCAGGCTTTATTTGTCGGCCTTAGTCGCCTAGCTTCTATCTCATACCCTTGGGTAGTGTCTATCATATCTAGGCATCGTTGAGTGCTGGGTGGGTGTGTGCTCAACCAAGTCTTGCTTATAGCCATTAGTGCTGCGATAATAATGTGGTATGTTAGGTACATATCAGCTTTTGAGAGCTTATGTGGCAGGGCTAGCAGTAAATATGTTTCTGGGGAGTGTGGCAGAGTATTGCCAGTGGATTTGGTTATGATATTCGAGACGCTTTTCCAAAAGGGCCTAATTCCTGGGCAGGTCCACCATATGTGGATCATTGACCCCGGTTCCTGTAAGCATCTCCAGCATGTCCCTGACTTACTTGGGTCCATTTTGCTCAGCCTGGTGGGTACCATGTACCAGCGATATAACACTTTCCTGCTAGTCTCAATATGGGATGCATTTAGTGTGAGATTTTTGTGTGCTAACAGTATTTTTGACCATACCTCATTGGATATAGTCAGATTCAGGTCTTTTTCCCATGCCGTCATGAAGCTTAATTTCTGTGGTTGGTCTTGTTTTTTGGTCAGTTTATACAGGAGTGACAGCATTTTCTGTGGTGGTTTTGGGGCCATACATACTTTTTCTATCTCTGTCAGTGTCTGTGGTTGCGTTTGTGCAGCTTCTAGACCTATATTCTTCCTCGCCCATGATTGCAATTGTAAGTATGAGAAATAGGCTTTGGGAGGTAGGTTGTACTGGTTGGTTAGAGTACTAAAGTCTATTAGGCGACCGTCCCTCATTAAGTGCGATAGGCGTGTGGCTCCGTGTTTGCACCATAGGCCATGATCGAACCCCGGAATGAGGAGTTGGAATGCTGGAATTTGTAGTGCTGGGGATATGTATGAGGTGGGATAGTGTTTCTTGGTGTACTTGTCCCATAGGAGGAGTGTGGCCCTCGTGGTTGGGCATATGTCTGGGTATTTTGGTCTCAGATGCCTAGGTATCCAAGCAAGGGTGGACATCGAGAGTCCGCCCGTGTTTGCGGTTTCTATGTGAACGTGGGCATAATTTAAGAGGCATATTAGTCCCAAGCCACTTAACATCTCCAATCAGGGCCGCCATCAGAAATTGTGGGGCCCCTAACACAGCTCAAGGTCTGGGCCCCCGTGTGCCCGCCTCCAAGCCCCACCCCCAAATCCCGCCCACAGGAATACACACACACAGACACACAGAAAGATACACAAATACTGAAACAGACATACATATAGATACATACACAGATACACACACACACTGACATACAGACACACACTGTTGTACATACATACTCACATACTGACAAACAGACATACATACACATAAATATATACTGACATACAGGGCCGCCATCAGGGGGTGACAACCGTGGGGGTTGTGGGGCCCCACGTGGAGTGGCGAAACTGCTGCAGGTGCATCTGCACCGGGGCCCATCAGGTGGCCCAAGCATTTAGGGCCACCCGATGGGCCCTGTATCTTCAGGGGCCCTGTCAGCGCTGCGCCGGGTGATTGCGTGACCGGGCCCCTTTAAAAAAAAAACAAAAAAAACACTGCAAGTGCTGCTGGGAGGAAGTGACGGCCGGTCACTTCCTCCCAGCTTACTAAACGCGGGGGGAGAGCGGAGGAGAGGACAGGACAGGGACACCAGCGGCATCCACTCCCATCATCCCCAGCCACCCTCCTGCAACTTAAAGGTAAGAGGAGGGTGGCTGATAAATGAGGTGTGTGTGTGTATGTCTGTGTGTGTGTGTATGTCAATATGTATGTCTGTGTGTATGTCAGTATGTATGTCTGTGTGTATGTCTGTGTGTGTGTGTGTATGTCAGTATGTATTTCTGTCTGTGTGTGTGTGTGTGTGTCTGTGTGTGTGTGTATGTCAGTATGTATTTCTGTCTGTGTGT